TTGTGTTATTTTTTCCTTCGGTCTGCTACATCATGAGTGGTATTGGTTTGGAGAAGAGCATTTGCAGCTGCAGAGGTGCCTGATAAAACTTCATTCCGCTGTGAAATACTGTATGAGCACACAAACACTGTGCCCTCAGTTCAGAATGTCAAAGAACAGCCTACTACAAGCAACAGCAGTGCTGGAAGCGACACGTTTTCTCTGATGCTCAAAGGCTCCTGGGAGACTTTCGTTTCTAACTCAAACGAATTGGTCTCTCTGGCCTGAGTGACCTGTAGCTCTAAGGCAGATTCCTTCCCCTCCTGCACTTAGACTCACTTATATCCATGTCACTGAGAAATAATAAATCTACGAGTGACACAGTAAGAATAACCCTGTAGCTGTATTTTCTAAAAGGGACAAACAGCCAGGAAAGCCCAATACACAAGAAGACCTAGGTCCCGATCTTCCTGTAGTTGTCGGATTCTACTTTTCCCAAGGAATGAATGGCTTGATTTATATGGGGGATGGATGGGGATGGGATAGGAAGCACATTGTGTGTTATAGAGCCATCTGGCTCTGGGACGTGGAGTCATCAAAAGAATCTATTTCCTCCGTAGGATCTGTCCTCCTGGTCTTCTGCTGATGAACTGGACACCTCGGGATCTCTGAGTCCTACATCAGGGAGAAGCACCCCAAACAGACAGAGAACGGTAACTTTCTGCTGGTCGTTGGCCCATGGGAAGGGGCACTGGAGAGTGACAGTATCTGTACCCACCAGGGTCCACAGGGTCTCCCCCCCGACAAAGCAGGGATCCCCATACAGACGAGGGTGTCACTCAGTGACCCAGTGTAGCGCTGTTTCCTCAACCCTGCCACGTGCCCTCATCACCTGCGCTCAGGAACGGAAAAGAGCGGTTCTGTTTTTCCAAAGAATCAGGGCTCCATGTGGGGTTGGTGTGCAGGGAGACACATTATTTTTCTTGCTCCAAGGGCCATCTCTAGAATGATGTTCCCTGGTCCCTTTGGTGGCTCCTCCCTTCAAACCACCACTGCCACCGCCCACCTAAAAAACCAGGTTCCACCGAAAAGGGTGCCTCCGCCAGAGGTGGGCGAAGGAGCCCGTGAGGCCATGGAATGGATAAGATAAGTGGAGGATCTGTTGACTCTCAAGCAAGGAAGCTCCTGAGTGGTCCTGAAGGTTTTCAGTGACTGTGCGGCCCCCCAAATGGCAACAGCGTAGGGTGACTCACCCACAAGGCCCGTGGGGGCTGCCGCACTGGCACACAGAAGCACAGTCAGCCCCTGCTACACTCTATACCTTGATTTCTCTGTGTAATTAGAAGCTTGTTTTTGTTATTTTTTTGTCCTGCTTTATGATTATATTCATTTTTATTATCATTCCATTGTCCTTAGTTTTTAGAAGCATTAATTTGTAATTTTTGTTGTGATAAACACTTAAGTTCTATGCTGATAAATGTTATGACCTTTGTTTAGGATTTTTTTTTCTTACTACATTCACTAGTTTCCCATAGATCCTAGTTTAAGAATGTGAAGGAATACTGGCTTTTCAATTCAAATTTTAGTCTTTATGTAACTTGAGTCTTTAAATTGTTGGGTCTTCATCACTTTATGAAGAACAATTTCCTATTACCGTTGTTACTATTTTTTGTATCTACCAAGAATTTTGGTACTATTTTGGTGTTCCAGAAGATATGAAAAATATGTTGTGGCATGCTATATTGAACTTTATGATTATTTTTAAAAATATGTTTTTATTAATTTTAGAGAGGGAGGAAAGGAGAGGGAGAGAGAGAGAAGCATTGATTGGCTGCCTCCTGCACGCCCCCTACTGGGGATTGATCCCGCAACGTGGGCCTGTGCCCTGACCGGGAATTGAACCAGCAACCATTAGGTGGGTGGGACGACGCCCAACTAAGCCACACCAGCCAGGGCTGAACTTTATTTTTATTGTAAGTTTACAGAGATGCTTGGCTAGCATATGGTCACTTTAGTTTCTACCATGAAACGTGGGAGGAGAAAATATGCCCACTGTGGTGTGGACTTCCCAACCACAATTTATGTCCCTTCGATGACCAATAACATCGATGTAAATTTATCTCGTTTCTTCCGCAAAAGAAAAGCCAGTTTCCTTAATCATGGGTACCGATCATTTCGTTTGATTTGTTTTTTCCTTTGCTGCATTTTTAGTTTAATTTTCATCAGTAGCTTGTCTTTATTTGCCTGGACTGAACATTCTTCTTTCTTTACCCCCTGTTCATTGCAAACAGCCACGAGGCAAATGTAGTCTCTCACAGCCTGGACCCTCTGTCAACAGTCCACATAGCAGGTACCTTATTCTCCTGGTTTCCACACTGTTCTAGAACTGCAAGAGGATGATGAAAATTGCCCATGGTGTTGATAGGCCTCTCTCGGGTGTGCCTTGGGGCAGTTGAGAAATTACTCATTTCAGTGCACACCCTTTCAGAATAAATTGGAAGAGACTTTTCTACGTGGAAAATGCAAGTGAATCTCAGAGCATGAAATATTTGGACCCCACCAAAATTGGGATTAACACTACATAGGCCATCTGGAACTTTTCATCCAGTGGTATCCTGTGTGCACCTAGAATTCGATACGTCCCATAACATAGCTGCTGTTCGAGTGGTGGCAGACTTTTATCATCCTCTTTCTTTCTAGATTTTACAATAAGACAGGTAATCGATCAATGAATTATTTTACCATTCCCGGAAACCCACACATCTGAATAAAATCTACTAACACCCCCGGCTTTTTCTTTTCTTTTCATGTTTTATCCAGATTGTGGGTTTGGGATTCTCCAAATGGCAAGTCCGAATTCAGTGTTATTTAACATTTATAAGCACCTTCTCTCTTCTGCTTCTCCCGAAATTTCTCTTCACGCACCCAGCACACTCAGTCACTCACCCTCCTGCCCAGCGCCCCCCGGGCGGGCCCCTGCCCAGAGCCCACTCACCGCCGCCACCCTGTGCTTCACACCCGCCCCCAGCAGTCCCTGTGTCTGCAGCTAGCGGTGCTTTGCCTGCTTCGTTGCTGGTGTGATGTCTGTGCTCCCTGCCCCTTCACTAGTCAGCGCCCGCTTCCCCAGACAGCTGTCTGCATAGAAACACTGTCCTCAGAGCTGACTTTTCATTCCCGTCCCAAGCAGTTCAGTGTTAGAGTAGTTTGTCCCCCTGGAAACTCAGCCCCACTGAGCTGGGATCAACATTCCTGGGAGGAGGGCGGGGGAGGAGGACATGTGGAGCCATAGACAACTCCTGGGAATAGTCGTGGCTTTCCAGCCAGGAACGGAAGAGAATGGCTGTTTCCTTTGGTCGTTCCCACTCGGCTAAATGAATGCAGAATGCATTTGGGTGTGCTTTCTGGGTTTAAGCGTCCCTTTACTATGTTTTTTTGTTTTTTTCTTGCCCTTTGATTTGGTTTGGAGACCATTTGAGGGGGGATGGCCCATAACAAAATATCAATAATGAAATGTGAATGGAGGGTATGATGGACTTCCTCAGGTGCCCTGATGGTTTTTTAGGCCCCAACAATAAAAACCACCATGCTATAGACAGATCATTGTTTTATATGGTCCGTCTTCTCCACTTAAATTGCCACCGTGCCATGAGCATATTGCTATGGGAGCCCCGCAGCATCCTTTTAGGATACCAGAGACCAATTCTTGGCTTGGCATAAGTGATGGTAATGAGAAGGGGGAAAGCACTTATGTTATTAAACACCACCCATAGCAACCACCTGCGGGTTTCCAAATATCGCTTCCATCTGCTCCCTCAGTTATTCCAGACAACCATGCAGGTTTTCTGAAAATGTCCAAGGCCTGGTTCTAGGGCAGCCAGGGCTACGCCGTGTCTCCTCACAGGGCTTTGCGGCTGGGACAGCCACATTCTCGCGGTGGCATCCCCAAGGCACCTTTCGGCTCTGCTCTGCCCAGCGCTGTTTATTAACATCTCTCTGAGCACACAGCACAAGGTTCACTTTGCTACTCAGGGGGCCTGGGATCCTTCGCCTGAATGGCAAACTTCACCAAGCACCTTGCCAGACAGGTTGTGGTGGAACATGCTGAGCATTCTCGGACTTCTTAGCTCCTTGGCCCCTCTGAGTGGGGTGTGCCCAACCCTGACATTGAAATGTGGAGTCTGCTGGGAAGGAATGAACTCCACTCGCAATCCAGGTGTCACGGTGTTCCCTGACACCGAGGCCTGAGAGCACCCTGTGTTTGATCTTGCACTGCTCCAGCAAATTGGAAAGGTTATTGCAGAAGCACACACGGGTTAGCGTCTTGACCCCAGCCATCTGCAGTGGGAACATGTTCAACCAACGTGTCTTCTTCCTGGAAGAGAGGAGAGGCTGAATTGGAAGAAACTGCTTATTAGTTTGAAGGGAGACGCTCTTATATTCTTTGGGTTTAAAGTAGATATTAATAATGTCAGTTGCATGCTTGCTGTAATTTTCAGTTTGATTTTATGGAAGACACTGTTCTGCGTCTTCTTAAAAATATTCTAAGCCTACATATGGATTAATGCTACTATGTTTAGGCCCTGGGCCTACAAAATTAATACAATATGGTCCCTGCCATTAACAGACCTGCAAGGTGTCAGAATGAAGAGATTCCCTAAATCAATTACAAGAAGCTCCCCAAGACTTCTTCAAAGGATAAGCCTTTGGAAAATGTTTGGGCATACATTTGTAATAACTGTTCATTATTTTTGAGATCAAATATATTTAAGAAGCATGCTCTTGAAGCAATGCTGTTGATGGTCCACCTGGTACTTTTCTTCCACGTGGACTTGAAATGATCTAACCTGATCTCCAATAAGACTTCTCAACTCAACTGCCGATCATTGAAATTGACAGATGGGAAGATTTTACTCCAATTTCCAGCAAAGCAAAGGAATAATTCCTCTGTAGTCTGGATAGAGTGAATTGGTGACTTCATTCCAAAGCTTTGAATTGTGAAATGAAAAATTGCCAGGGCACCTCTGGTCTCTGGCACCTTCCTCACAAGAACTAGGACCCAGGGAGAAGTGGCAAATAACTGGCTGAAACACTGCAAAGGAGGGGAAAACGCGCCTCATTTTAAAGTATGTGCAAGGCAGCCAGATTTCGTGGGGCCAGCACAGTGGGCTTTTGCCCCGTACAGCAGGGCTTGCCTGAAAACACTATTCAGTTTCTTGTGAAAAATTGTTTTTAAGTCTTTTCCTCCAGACTCCAGCCTGGGGACCTATTTATTCAAAACATTCAAATAGCTTCAGCCTACAGCAGCCTTGCCTGTAGGCCAGGCCCCAGCCAGGGCTGAGGACAGCTATAGGGTAAGGCTCCAACTAGTTGCCTTTATAAGACCTGAGGCGCGCATCCCCAGTGTTTTCCGGGCACTTTGGGAAACAGTACATCCTTGAAAGCACTTCTGGGAAATCAGGAATGTTCCTGGGAGAAAAGGCTAAATCCAGCCAACCTCTGAGGGTGTGAGTCAGCACACCCTTGCTTTCATAGTACAGATAATAATACATTGATGACACTTATTTAGCATTAATGTGTTCTAAGCACCACATAAAGCATGAGATACCCGTTATCTCATTTAACCCTCACACCAACCTCATGACATGGCTGTAGTCTCAGATTTACAGACAAGGACACAGAGGATTAGAGGCATGAAGATTTAGGTTTGAACCCATGTCTACCTGACTCTGGGGGATTCTATCTTGTTAACCACTGCACTCTAGCGCAGGGCTGCTGGCGGATAGAACTTGAAAGGATTCCAGGGCTTAGGCTACTAGGCAGAATGCTCCTTTTGGAATAAGAGGAGGCTGAAATCCTGAACTGATTCTGGAAGTGTGTGTGCCGAACCACGTGTCCAGGGAACAAAGACCATGCACACAAGGGTAGGCAAGAAGATCATAGACAAGCTAGATAATCCCTCACAGTAAATTCCTGTTACTATCCTGCCAGGGTTAGCTGACAAGTAACAGAATGAGTTGCAAGCTTCTTCTGTGTTTGAGTGATGTATGCACAGAATTAACCCGTTTTATTTCCCTTCACTGTGTAGAAGTTTGAGAGGAGCCGTACTCTTGTGCATACTGGTCAGGTGCCAGCATCTCTTGATCATGCTTTCTTGTGTGTGGTGTGTGGTGATGTATGACTTCCTCCCCTACCATCCTTTTTCACAACTGTATGTGTTTAGGGGAAAGAGAGGAAACAACATCTGGGCAACTGTTTACCCAGAAATTTTAATGAGAAAAATAATAAAACAAGTATTTAGTTATGAGAATGAACACGTTTTTGCTGGGCTGAATTATCTGGAATATCTCTTATGATTAACTCCCTTGAATAAGGTCACACATTTGATTTTTCCTTTATAGATACACTCTCGACTGGCGCCTGTTTATGTAACAGGCCACTGGAGAGAGATGAGTGACTAGTGTCTTTTTTCTTTCCCTTGTCAAGTTCCCCAAGACTCTTGAAATAGAGGTGATTTTAGGTCAATGGCTAAATATTCATAGTACCCTTTAACCCTGGTGTCATTAACCTGATGGTACCCGCAGCTCTAAGACTTTGGGCATTAAAGTTGAAACCCTGGTCATTGCTCCCAGGGGATGACATGTTTCTCAGCAGATAAATCAGGCATTTCCGAGAGCAGTCAACTGCATGGAAGCTCACTAAGGACTGTGAGTTCTCTCTGTCCCTGTCTCAGCTCATCACCCCTCCTTAGGTGGGTATTCTTCAGCATTAGAAGCACGTGGTAATTAAAGTTTAATAAGGAATGCTCTGATGCTGTTAAATGTGCCATGTCCTTCAACAGACGCTATAACATGTGAGCCCACATTGCAAAAATGGTGACCTTTCCTCTTGTTCTCAGGGGTGGACTCATCAATGGGCACCCTCTGTTTTGATCTTGATCTTTGGCTTAAGCTAATCATTGACAAGGAAGGGCTATTCAGCTCTGTCAGTCCGATTGTATTGTCAATTATATGCATACATATAACCATCACTAATGTCCTTACATGCTTCCTCAAGAAGAGAAGTCAGAAATCTTTCTCATTTTATTTAAATGTTGAGTGGTGAGGAAATGTGAAGCTCTCTTTTGTGCTTCAGTTATAACTCCTCCAGTGACTGATGGGGAGGGCACATTGTAAGAGAAAAGGAAAAGGTATTTTGAAGAAAAATTCAACCCAGAATTCATGGGCAAATATCCCATCCTTCTTAAGACACTTTAAGGCAAACCATTGAATCTTGAACTGACAGAGCCAAAGAGATTTTAGGATATTAATGCAACCTTTCGCTTTGCAAATAAGAAAACTGAAGGCCAGAACAGAGACTGTGCTGCTTGGCCAAGATTATGCAACTGTCTGAACATGAAATGTCCCCCTGTGCATGTGCTAACTTGATGATCCATGTAATACTGTGAGCCCCCAGGATTGGAGGCATTTATTTTCAACATGAAGAAACCACTAACTTCCAAACATTTGAGGACACGAATATTTTTCTCTTTTTTTTAATACATGTAAGATACCTGTAAAGTAATATAACCCAGATGACCTTCATCAATGTCAGGGAACAAAATGTTGCTGTGAGTATGGGAGGCAGGGATATTGGGACTCAGTTCCTGCTGGATCTCTGCCTTTAATCCTGGGATCTGGGGCAAGTCATTTACCTTCTCTAGAGAGTCCAAATTCTGGAAGTTAAAATCCTAGGGTTGAAATCTTAATTCTGCCACTTGCAAGCTGTAAGTCACTGGTTACTTCCCCTCTCTGAGCCTCCTTTTCTTCATCTATAGAATGAAGATAACAAGCACATTGAGGACTATTCTGGGGATTACATGAGAGAACCCAAGATAAATGCTTAGTACATTGCCTAGCAATTAGAAAAATGTTAATTATCCTTACCAATATCTACAAATTAGAAGATGGGTTATATACTGTATAAGGCCTTCTCTCAATATGAATATTTTATAATTAGAAAACTCAAGAATTTCCCATTTTACCCTTCCATTAGTAGGCATGTGCCATTGTTCTTTTACCCTCTACTGTATTTCACAAAATATACAAATTTTCTATTTAGCTCATTAGGAATAACTCATTGGTCTTAAAATAACGATGGTTAATCAGTTTGACCACTAGATGGTGATTGAACTCTTGTGGCCTCTTAGTTGGCCTACTATTTACACTGACTAATTAGTAGAAGACATCCAATGTATAAAACATGGAACTTTCAAGTTGGAAGGCCATCTAGTCTAACTTGAAGGGGTTGAGTAAGAGGTTGGCATTTAGGGATAAAGTGAGTTGTTCAAGGTTACACAGCCATTAGTTGTAGTCTTCAGAAAAGAAACAGAGTCCCAATTCTGGCCAATGACATTTCTTTCATTACATTTGCTGAAGACACAGTGGGCCACATGCTCCTAGGGGCTTCCAGAGGCCTGGTCTGTTTGCCTCTCATATTTCTTTGATGGTTTTAATAAAAGAGTTTTGAGTAGTCCAGCTGGAAACTTAGTGTTTTCTTAGAAAAGCATACGAAGTAACCAATACAGTTTTCATACCTTCATATTTCTGCAGTGGCCTCATATTCATTGTCCTTATCCTTAGTGATATTACTGCCACTAGGGAATTTTTACTAGGTGGGGGAATGTGTTTTGTCAGCATACCTAGTCTTTTTGCTCCTACAATATTGTGTGTTTGTGTGTATGTGTGTATGCAAAATGTCTCTTTTTAATAATATTTCTCTCTTCATCTTTCCACAAGTAACCAAACAAAATATTAAAGGATGCTCACGCACACACACAAAAAAAACGGTGCCCCCTCTGCCCCCACCCAGAACCTACTTCCACATTCAATGTTTTTCAGGCAGTCTTTCTTATGAAATGTGGAATTCATGCTTAATCTCAAATGCACAGTTTAGTAGATAGGAAGATATAAATGTAGACAGGAAAACATAGAACTTTGAGTAGAAGGAGCCTACAAAATGACCATCTGTCCTCAGAAAAATTGTGTCTGTTTCCCAAAGTCACAGCTGATAAAAAATAGGATCAGCCTAGATTCTAAGTCATTCAACACCAGTGTTCTGTACACCCACTCTATTGCCATCCTTGTTCACACAGCGTCAGAACCCACTGATGCCAGGGACAGATGCTGAGTCAGTGCTGAGTCAGTGCAAGATGAAACCAGGGTACTCAGATTAGTTGTGCTTTATGGGTCTGTGCAAAATGATTGGGACTGTTCTCCTCGCTGCATGGAGTTTGGCACATCTGGGAGGACTAGACGGGATACTTCAAGTGATTCTAACAGCAACTAATTCTGGCTACCAGTGCTCCTGGTAGTCTTAACCCAAAAATATACTGCATCAAACATCCACATCTTAATTATTCTGGATCAACTTAATTTATGCTGATAGAATGTGTATAGAGCAGTTATCTTTGTTGATGGGAAATGTTTTACCAAATTAAAGGGTGGAATTTGAACTCAGTTACCTTTCGTTTACTGACTAAATGTTAACTTTTCATCAGTACAGTTTCCAAGAATCTCTTCATTGGGTGGCGGGGGGATGACCTGGGCACACTGCAGAAGGCGGGTGGCTAACGGCCAGGTCGGGTTGTGTTTGGCATGGTCCTGTAGCTTCCAAGACGGTGAGGGAGCTAAAAGCAGCATCCATCCAACATTTGAGATATTTGAGTTTTTTCTGTTGATTCCTCTCTCAGGTCCATAAAAGGTGGCTCCGATTCCTCCCTTTCTGAGCCTCAGCCAGCTCGGTCGGGCCGAGGTTTCCTGTACAGAGTGCTCAGAGCGGCCCTTCCCCTTCAGCTGCTCCTGCTGCTCCTCATCGGGCTCGCCTGCCTGGTACCAATGTCCGAGGAAGACTACAGCTGTGCCCTCTCCAACAATTTTGCCCGATCATTCCATCCCATGCTCAGATACACGAATGGCCCTCCTCCCCTCTGAAGCAAGCAGATGCCATCTGCAGCGGTGCTGGTCGTGCAAGGAGGGTTTAGCCCAAAGCCAACCCAAACTAGCAAAAGGAGCACCTGGATGCTGGCGAAGGCCTTCGGAGTGGTGGCGTTAGCCATGTGTCCAAATCATGGCTTCGGAGGTGGATGATAAACAATGACAGAAGGAGAGCAAATAGAAGGTGTGGAAGAAATGTTTGAAACTCTGAGCCTCAGTACTAAAGAGATGAAGTACCTCCAACGTTCCCTGGACACGTGTGTCCTGGGCCTTTGGCCTGTTCTATGCACAGCCAGGACTTTAGCACACCATCTGGGCAAGTTTCCCACGGTGTGCCCCATCCATTCATTAAATGACGCCACCTGAGCGCCACATTGGTATCGAACGGTCTACCAACCAACCAGTGCTGAGCCTTGTAACATACAATTTTGAAGAGCTTATATGGCAGCTTTCCTTTTGCCTTGTTTTCCTTTGGGGCATGATATTCTAACCTTTGCTTTAGAAGCACAAGCTGTAAATCTAAAAGGCACTTTTTAAAAAAGTATAAAGAAAAACTGGATGTAATAAATAAAATCATGGAAGGATTTATGTGAAAAAAAGTTGAATGTTATAGTAAAAAAAGAGATATTTATGTATGTACAGTTTGCTAAAGCCAAGTTTTGTTTGTATTGATTTCTTTGCATTTATTATAGATACTATAAAATATTTTGTCTGTGCTTTTTTTTTCTCCCGTAAAGAGATGACTCTAAATTTCCCTGTTGAGCAGAATGCAACCTGAGTTACCTTTTTGCAGAATGAATGAAACAAGCATAAGCGTGCATTCATGAATAAGGATGATTAGAGGTAGCACGTATTTAGACCTAGCAGTCTCTAGGTGATTCCTCTCGCCATCCTCCTCCCACAGCCAATCGTATCTCCTCAACTCCTGTTTCTCAGCACCTGTCATACTCTCCTTTCCTTTCTGTCCCCTCTGCACAACTGGAAGAGCCTCCTATGGAGCCTCCACTCCATCCCACGGGTACACAACAGCCTATGAAGTTTCTTGCATGTTTTATCTATCAGTCAAATCCACAGACAATAAGATTTGGGTCTGCCCCTCTGACCTTGCCAACTAAGTGGCCCTCATGGAATTGTTTGGTGCTCATGGAATTTTAATCCACTATTTAATCATGGGAGGAGGAAGATTTATATAAAACCTAGGTGTCAGGCTTCTCTTGAAAGTGGAAAGCTCTGGTGTCCTGGGTACCCATTCCTAAAGGGCAGTAATTGCTGGACGAAAGTGGCTGCTGCTCCTTGACCTGTAGGAAGAGACACTTTGTACATGTCCACTGACATCCAATCCACCTCTCTCAGTGCGTGTCCCAGCCTGATTCCTGTAGGTATTTAATTTATAAGTCCTGCTCTAAATCAAGAATGTAAAGCAAACCGAGCTTCTCACGGTTACCTGGACCTGCCTTACACAGCTTCCATGATGCTGTAGCCTGAGCGCCTTCCCACCTCGAGGTCCTGTGTCTCTTTAAGCCCCGGGCCCTGGGCAGACCTTCTAATTCACTCCCTGGGGTACGGCCTCAGAGGTTACATTTTAAACAGATGCCTGTGGTGATTTTAGCCCTATTACCTGTAGAAAAGCACCACTCCATACCTTCTTGCTCCATCTTTTTGTTCTCACCACACCCCTCCTTCTCCCTCTCAAGACAACTCACAAGCTGCCTCCTCCTGGAAGACCTTCCTGATCACTGCTGGACTGGACTGAAGACTTCTCTCCACTGAACTTTCCCGTCACCCGAGTTGAGTTCTGCTTTCTACTGCCAGGTTGCTCCTTTCTTATCTCCCCCGGAGTCTCCCCCAGGAAACAGACTGGAGTTGTGCTCTTTTCTAAAGAAAACAAACCTGTGCGTGGTATGTTTTCTATCTCCTGCTTCTGGGAGGGCTGCAAGCGGTGGTGGAGATTGGACTTGAAAGGTGCCGTGTACCCTCATCTGAGAGGGTCACTCTTCAGGCCTTGTTCTTCCTCACTTTCCTGTCTTCTCTGCTCCAAAACCCGGGATGTGCGGTCTGGCCTCTTGAGCAGTCCAGCCCTTCAAGAGCCACCTTTTGCCACTGCGAGCGAACTCGCTCTATAACGAGTCATGGGAAAGACCAGCACAGAGAGACTCCAGAGCCTTCTCTTCTCCACATCGCTGAACTGCCTTACTCGACATCCCCCATCCCCAAAGAAGCAACTGTTAAATGTGGCTGAAAAAAAAATCTTAGCGTCAAGTCCCTGTGTGCCTTCCTAAAAACCCCTGTGCAACACTCAGTGGGATGTATGATGCACATTTTTATTACAATTTTCAAAGATTTAAATAACAGGGTATTGGAATAAAACAAAAGCAGGAATCGCTGGTGAGTGGAAGCATTGGAGCTATGAGATGATGTCTTTCCACTGATGATAGTAGGCCCGTCTAGCCAGGACCAAGACAGACAGCCACAGAAGAGACAAGGGTTTCTGCCCAGAGCCCAGAGCCCCCATATACTCGAATGCCCACTGCGGAGAGGACACGGGGTCATGTAGGAGCACCCTCACCTGCACCAGCAGCTGCCTTGGAGAGGGGGGGAGAGAGAAAGAGAGAGAGAGAGAAAGAGAGAGAGAGAGAGAGAGAGAGAGAGAGGGAGAGAGAGAAGCTTCTTGGATGAGATGGGGGCTTTGAGAGAATATTAAGAGGCTAAAGGGACACTGATGGCTGCTAAAGAGGCTGTCAGATTTCTGAGTGAGGACTGTCGGGAGCCCTGCTGTGGCCGGCAGATAGGGAGCGATGTCCCAAGTGGGTGAGGAAGGGCACGGCAAGGAGACCGTCCACTGACCGGGAAGGGTGGAATTCATAACATGTTGGTGATGAGATTCCACCAGCAAACAGGAAATGTTAGAAAAGCTGAGGAACCAGAAAAACCTATAAAGCTAAGAGGGGGAAATAAAGGGTCAGAAACTAAAAGCCGTGGCTTAATAAGAAATCCAGAGAGGAGTGAAAGATGTTGGGGGGGAGCTATGCCAGGGAGCAGGAATAGCTCCTGGAAAATGGGATGGCAACAGCTTCCCTTATTTTTGTAATAAGTGAGAAAGCAGGCCTTTGAAAGGCTTGGATGGCCCGGTCAGATGGCTCAGTGGTTGAGTGTCAACCTATGATCCAGGAGGTCATAGTTCGATTCTCAGGCAGGGCCCATGCCTGGGTTGTGGGCTTGGTCTTCAGTAGGGGGAATGCAGGGGGCAGCTAATCAATGATTCTCACTCATCATTGACGCTTCTCTCTCTCTCTCTCCCTCTCCCTTCCTCTCTAAAATCAATAAAAATATATAAATATATATTTAAAAAAAAACAACAGAAAGAAAGGCTTGGATGGGAAATTTAGCAGCTGAGTGCTGAGAGTTCCTGTAAAAGGCAACTTGGGGTAGACTGATTTACAGCCTATGTCCTGGAGCCAATTATTAAGAAATTAAAGCTACAAAATTTTATTAACAAACCACATAAGTGATTAAAAAGCAAAAAAAAAAAAATGGTGGAGAGAGTTGATTTATGAAGCTGCTCGGCAGGGTCCCAGGAGCTGGGCTGGACGGGCCTGAGATGGCCCAACCATGGAGCTCTCTGCCCCGCCCACCAGCCCGCCATCCCCATCACCCAACGCACCCATGGGGGACTGTGCAGAAATAAAATACCCTCAGAGTAAACGCTGAGTAGATCCAGGAACGCCCAGAAGAACAGCATCCACCCGCATCACAGGTACTTACGGGCCGCCCATCCTGGGGCAGGAACTGCCCACCCTCCTCAGGAGCCCGGCCTCGGCCAGGACTCAGCACTTGCTGTCTAGTTACCGGAAAACCAGGCCTCGCTGGGCCTGTGACACACGGAAGCACCCGTATTTTCCTTCACCATTTATGTCCTGAAACTTGAGATGAAGGCTAATGAGGGGGCTAGAAAGGAACCAAACGGAAACCGTTTCTAATTCAGGGGAGAAAAGGGCGATGAAGTCTGTTAGATCTGCCCCAACTTTCTGTCAGCAAATTTCCTCTCCTTTTAACGTCTCTGTCACCTGGTTTATGCTACAGTGGGTGTTAGTCTGCGGACGCGGACAGGTGGAGGGGTTGACCAGCATCGAGGCGGTTCTCAGCGTAGTCCTCGGCAGCACCAAGGCGTTGATTCGGGTGATGGGGGCGGCGGGGGGGGTTTACCGGGGGGGGGGGATTTACCAGGAGTGGTCATTTCAGGTTTATTAACTGAATATTACATTGTGGTGATTGTGGCCAATTCTCAGACCTAAAGTAGCCCAGAGACAGTGAAACACAAGCAATAACTGTTTTTTCTTTAGTTTCTGGCTTCTCCTTAACTTCTCCCTCGGGTTTTAACACACCCACGAGGAATCCATTTGGGGGTACCACAGAGGGTCCTGAATTTGAGGGAAACCCCTCATTCAGATGAGGAAGAGGAGTGACTGGTCGGTTGGGGCACCTCCCGCAGTCTCTGCCAAGCAGCCCTCTGTGGGGAGAGGCCTGGTCCTTCGCTGGGCAGAGGCGGAGCCGGATGAATTGGCGGCGGCAGCAGCATCCTGGAGGCTAAGGGAGCTGGACCACACCGGGCGATGAGGAATACTCTCTCTGGGGAGCCGAGGAAGCCAGGTTGGGTCTGATCTTTCTAAAATACGAAGGTCATAGTGAAATGAATCAGCCTTGCGATTCTTCTTTTTAGCCATTCCCCGGCGCAGGAACAGGAATGTAACTGAATGTGAAAACCCCAGTTACATGAGGAGAAGAAAGTCCTCTGTGAGCTGTGCAGATGACTGCGTTCGATGCCATGGGCGGTGGAGAAGAAACCTGGTCTCTGGGGTGACTAGACATCTTGGGCCTCCCCGGGGTGCCCTCCCAGCCCAGCTATGTCCTGCCAGACACATTCCTGAGGCAACTGCTGGGCTCAGAGGGTGACGCTGCCAACATCCAGGACAGCTCCAGGCAGCCACCCCCTTAGCCCTCAAACCACCCAGCGCAGCTCACCCCCGCCCCCCACAGCCCCCCCGTGGGATTTGCAGATGAAGGGTGACTGTAGCGATCCCCCCCACATGGGATTTGCAGATGGAGGGTGACTGTAGCGATCCCCACCCCCCCCACCCCCCGTGGGATTTGCAGATGGAGGGTGACTGTAGAGATCCCCCCACCCTGTGGGATTTGCAGATGGAGGGTGACTGTAGGGATGCATTCTGCTCCAGGCAGTCCACCCAAGCCGGCGGCCTTCGAGTGTGGCCCGGGTCAGGGGCATCAGCGTCCCCTGGCAGCGATGCGCCAATTGTGGCTCCAGCAGTGCCTTCCAGGCTTCCACCGGCCCGGGTTCCCCATCCCGGGACCTTTCACTGCCCCCAGTAGGCCACAATGGCAGGTGGTATAAGCAATTCCCCCATCACCCCCTCACACACACACACATACTGACTGGTAATGTCAGCTCCATCAAGTAACAGTTTTCCATATAAACCTGGATTTTTATTCTGGACACTATCCTGTGCGGCTGATCTAGCTTTCCATTGCTGTCTATCGAGTATAGATTAAAAGAATGTATATATGTATATTATGGAAATATTATAAATATAAAATATAAGTCTGTATAACTATTAATACACTAGTCTAGTATATTAGTTACTTTGTTATAAGTTTTAATAATTCACAGGAGAAAAACCATTTCTTCCTCT